AAAAGATTCATGGGCACTGTCTAATTCCAGGACAAGATACAAACTGATATAATAGATTGCTTTGCTGCCAATGAGGAGGAGAAAAAGGTTGGGATTGAAGCAAAGAACAATCCAACTGACTAGAGTGCTTTTTAACCCTGTCAATAAAATTCTAGTTGATTCATCACACTGATTAACTAATTCAAACTTAGTACTTTAGCAGGGAGAATTATGTTGTAAAGTGATTGAACTAGCCTGGGGAATAAATGGAAGAAAAAAATCCATTAAGACTTGGGTAAGTAAAATACTTACCTTCTCCTTTCATAGGAAAATGGAAGTGTGAAGTCTTCTTCGATGAATAAAAGTTTGGTTGCATCTGGGCAAATATCCATGCACCTATTTACTATTTGCTCAAACAAAATTCACAGGGCATCAGGGTATGCTTAGGAGTATAGTCAGTAATGTCTCAATTATCCTTCAAAGAAATTCCAAACCCATATCAGGACTGTAATTTCAACATAATGTCAAATCAGTTACAAAAGAAAATGCAAGCTTTCTTTTCAGTTCTCCTAAGCTGAATCATTTTGATTACAATGTTTACTCAACTGTAAGTTGACCTCATGTATATGTTGAGAGCAGGGTTGGGAGCCAAAATTATGGATTTTGATATGACCCATGGATAAGTCACGAGCAAAACTTAGGAGCATGTAAAGGATGTAAAGGACGGATCAAATGAAAATGATGTCAAAGAAGGTACAAAATTCTGACAGGCATAACTGTGCTCACCCCTAAGGGCTGGATAGAAGAGGAAGGAACTATAGTAACTCATGGCTGTGTGATGTGTAGGGGAGGCAACCAGACACAGGTGGGGCTGAGAAAACACACACGCCAAAAAGGATGAAAAGGCAAAGCAAGGAAAATGGTGACTATATTAGCAGTGATAACTTTAAATTTAATGTGATAACTTTGCCTGGTTTTAACCCAGAAAAGCTGACAAAAATACACAAATGTCTTATTCAAATCCTTTAGAGCCCAATTCCTTTTATCTGTCCTTTGAGGGGGAGAACTACCACCACCACTATTTTGCCATCCAGACATTCAAAAAGGCCAGAAGTGGTACTATGGAAGAGACACTAGAGAGAGGTCAGTGCTTCTTTTTAGGTACACTTCTTTTAGGGACAAAGTTCTTGCCTTTCGCAGTATTTCCAGTATTTTTCAGATCCCAATGGTACTGTAATTTTTGTAGAAGAAAGCCTGGCAGGCAGAGGCCAGCACAGGCCTGCATGCAACAGTTAACTCAAGTTGCTTAACACAAAATGACTGCATTTTGATGGCTGTATTTTAGCTTAATTAGCTGAGACACAATTGGGCCTTTTGCTCATGCAGGCAGCTCCCGTTCTTCCTGTTGTATGCAAAGCTGCAACTGAACCAGGAAGTTATTAATTAACTATAGTTTCCTCTGTAGTTCTCTGCCTGCAAAGAGGTCTGTTGCCTTACAGAAATGGTGACAGATTGGATTGCAAGACAGGAGTACTTGTTGAGATGCAAATGGATTTTAAATTTCCTGGATTTTGAGGATCTCCCAATTTCCACATGGCCAGAAAGAGGAGGAGCCAGCCTGCAAGAGATGCCCTCCCCATACCACCTCAACCAAGAAAAGAAACAGCAAAATGCAGGCCTATTACTGACATCTTCATTTTTTTCCCTCCTGTTTGTTTGTAACATCTTGCCTGATGAAGATACCAGTGGAGTTTCGAAAGCTTGCAACAAATATATTGTGCATTTTGGTTGACCAATAAAGATATCACTGTTTGGTGGATTTTTGTTTGAATTTACAATTTCCTCTGTCATCCAAACCAGGAAATGATGGTTATCAGCTTCAGAACATTTGAAGACATTAAATTAATTTCAAATCATGACTTAAGAACCTGGCTTTTTTGGAAGATGTCAACCTTAGATTCCACATCTGGAATAAGCAGGAAACTATACTTACTTAGAGATTTCCTAATTAAACTATGGTTAATTTAAGGGCTTTTTTGTTTTGTTTGTGCTTGCACTGTGAAGAGAGGTGGGAAAGGGCTGCATCTGCAGTCAGGTTTGCTCATGACAATCGCAGAATAATCCAGATCAAGTTATATTATAATAAGAACAGAAGAGACACAGGTGTCTGTGCACATGAGCGCAAAACCCCACCTCCCCACAAGTGAAGATCAATACATTCTGTGTTTTTCTGCTTTTTAGCAAGATGGTAAACAGCCCTTGTTTTGTGACACACTGGCCTTTACCCTACTGTTAATTCCAACTACAGCAGACCTGTTAAATTAACAGTAACTTCCTCAGTAAATACATATGTAAATTCAACTAATCCAGTGGGTCTATTGTAGTTGGGACTAACAACAGCATAGGAGTCAACATGGTATTGTGGTTTTATCACTGTACTATGATTCTGGAGACCAAGAGTTGAATCCTGGGTCATGAAAACCAGCTTGGGTAAGTCACACTCCCTCAGCATCAGAGGATGGCAAGGGCAAATGCCCTCCGAAGAAACCTGCCAAGGAAACCCCACGGTTAATCTTAGAGTGGCCATAAACTGGAAACAACTTGAACACAACAAGAACAACAGCTAAAGACACCAGATTTTCATCTGATCTTGGAAGCAAAGCAGGGTAAGTACTTGGGTGGGGGACCGCCAATGAATACCAGGTGCAGTAGGCATGTTTCAGAGGAAAGAGCTAGCAAAACCATGCCTGAATATTCCTTGTACAAGAAAACACTATGAAGTTCATGAAGTTGCTGTAACTCGACAGGCAACTTGAAGGCACGCACATACACACAGGCACATATGCACACACACAGAGAGAGAATTCAGAGACATAGCCATGTTACTTTGGATTACTAGGCAATGAGATCCTGTAGCACCTTTGAGACTTAGGGGCTTGTCAGACAGCCCCGACAGAGCAGCCTCGGGCTGCCCCTTTTCTTGCAGGATCAGGGCCATGGCAACTGACCCCGTGGCCCCGATTTGGCAGTTTGCCACTCTAAGCACCAAAATGCAGCTCCTTTTTAGTGGCAAAAGGCTGCCTCTGCTGCCGTGGCGGCGGCTTTTCTGAGTTTCTTTGGCACAGCGCTGTGCAGTTGGGTGATCGGCATGATGCCGGTGTCAGGGCATGTGGTTGCCACACCCCCACTCCACCCCGAGGCTGGCACAAAGTGCCGGTCTGTACAGCCCCTTACTGTGAGAAAGTGGTTGGTAGGGAGGGGAGGAAGGATGGAAGGAAAGGAAGGGAGGGAGGGGATTTCACAATGGGACAATTATTTGCGAAATTTGGTATTCGTGGAGGTTGGGTGGGTCTGGAACAGATCCCTGCAAATGGGGAGGGACAAGTGTATTTACAATCCAGGCACTTCTTTTCATTTGACAATTGTATAACAGAGATAGGTGCTATTTATCCATTTCTAGAGTAATAAACTTCTATATAAGGGAAGCCATTATTTCCAAGGGGTAAATAAATTAATTAACAAATGAATCACAACAAGGAACAAGAAATTCAGCAATGAATTACGTAAGTTAGCATAACATAAATTTGGACCATACTTTCTTATTAATGTAGGTTACATACACAATCCGAAAGTATGTTGTTGTTTGCTTCTTCTAGGCAAAAAGGCTTTTGACTACAAAACAAATAACGAATTGTATCGTACACCAAGTAAAGACTTGTGAATGACCTCATTTGTATACCCTGGCATAGGCATACTTTAGATCAGGGGTCGGCAAGTTCCCCTTACCTGGGGCCGGGCCGGGGATCCCCAGGTCGATTGGGGGGGGGGGGGGAATGGCAGCGCACGCATTCATGTGCACGTGCGTGGCCCCCACCACACCGCGCTGCCACCGGCATTTTGTTTTCCAAAATGGCGACCGCGACTCGTTTGCGCATGCGGTCTCAGAGTACTGCAAACGAGCCACGGCCGCCATTTTTTGGAAAACAAAATGGTGGTAGCGTGCGCGTGCGCTGGCAACAACAGATCCGCATGGATTGGTGGCAGCGGGGGTAGGTCCAAAGGCCTCAGGGGGCCGGCCCTGGCCCACGGGCCATAGGTTGCCGACCCCTGCTTTAGATGCTAGCAGAACATGCAGGGCCACCTGCAACTCACTGGGAGCTACTTCTTTAAACATAAACCAGACATGCAAAGGGTGTGTTTGGACACACAGAAATTTTTATTAGAACTGTGTCCCGAGAGGCTTCTGGGAAGGTGATTCATCTAAAAACAAGGTATGCAGTCCATCATTTAATTTGCATACATTTAAACATTTAAACATTTCCCCTCTAATGCCAAATTTAGCAGCAGGGCAGTGGGGACTGGTGAAGGAATATAAAAAGCTGTATGTTTCAAATCTGAGCTTTAAACAAAACTGAAAATTATCCAATGACATAACACAACAGACAATATGTTTGACACAAAAACTAACACAACTTTGAGTGATCTAGCAAATTCTTCTCTGTGATTCATATGGCAGGAAATATATAATTTCTAATACTTTCATGTTATGGTAGGACAACTGTTATCTGGGCTAGGTATAAAATTTTACTTCAGGATTTCACTGGGTCTTTTACCTTCTCTATGGTTTTGTTCTGACATCATAACACAATGAACCTGTTCACAAGCTCCCCTCTCCTTTGGCACAGCATATGGAGCAGTTTGGAAGTTTTTACTTACATTTTTCAAAATTAAATGTATCTTATTGTTATCTGAACCTACTGCAGCATGGCCTATATGAACTTTATAGGCTATAAGATAAGGCAGTCATATTGATTTTAAAAAAATAAATGCAATTTAAAAGTATTTCATATGGCTCTTTTTAATTATTAAAGTAAGATGAATATTGTGGGGTGACACTCCTAAACTTTCTCAGAGAAGAACACAGGAGTTATTTTCAAGTAAGCAAAATTCCTCCAACAAGTAGCAACAATAGCCACTTGGGCAGGGAATAAGCCCAACAAATATTTTAAATTAGATTTTGAGCCAGTGTAGTGTAATGGTTTTAGTGTTGGACTAAGACTTCAGAGGTCAGAGTTTGAATCTCTGCTTGGCCATGGAAATCCACTGGGCAAGTCACACTCTCTCAATCTCAGAGGATGGCAATGGCAACCCCTCTCTGAAGAAACTTGCCAAGAAAATCATATGATAGGTTCACCTTTGGGTTGCCATAAAGAAAAATTATTTGGAGGCACACAACAACAACAACAAAAACATCAAAATGCATTAAATCTTCCTTACTAATGTTTGAAGGTCTTTGTTCACACACACACACAAACACACACATTTTGTAAAGTGGCATATATAGCTGGGGTGAAAGAAAGAAAAATATGCAAAGCTCAGAGGACAACTGTGATTTGTGGACATGGATTACGTTCTTATCTTGCATTTTTAATTGGCTTAGTGGGCCCTTCCCCTCCATGGAGTTTTGGTCTGAGGTGAAAGCTCAACTCCTATATTATTCAATAGATGCTGATGTGTGCATGCCAGCATAAGCACGGCCACCATTGGATAATATGGATAGTGGCAATCCACAGATGCTCAAATCTGGGGATGGAAAGCCCACCGATACTGAAGGTCCACTGTAATTAAAAAGGCACTGAAGAACAACACAACACAAATATACCTTTTCCCATACACATATACTTCTATATATCTCAGGGGTTGGGAAGTTTTTCTTACTTGGGGCCAGTCTGCTGGCCTCCAGGTCTTCCGTGGGCCAGGGGGGGGGGGGGGGGAATGGCAGAGTACTGCACATGTGCAAATGAGTTGCAGCTGCCATTTTGGAAAACAAAATGGTGTGGGCGGCGGGGGCCAGTCCAAAGGCCTTGGGGGGCCAGCCCTGGCCCACGGGCCGTAGGATGCCGACCCGTGATATATGTATACCTGTGTTTGATTTTTTTTAACCCTAATTCTTAAAATATACTCCAAGTAACACTAAAGAGGGTTATGCATGCAAGAACACCTGGATAATAATCTGATAGGGAAGGTTTAAAAAATGTATTTTTGAAGCAAGTACAAAGAACTAACCAAGATAAACATGAACTTACCTGTCTTTGTAATTGATCACAGTATCAATGATGGCATTCATCTGCTTTGTCAGCTTCGGGGGATTGGGTGACAACTTTTCTGCTGGAGGTCTTCCTCTCCTCTTTTTTGCCTTTTCTCCATCTTCCTTGCCTGAATCCTTGTCCACATTTCTTCTCCTTTTTCGTTTTTTAAGCCGAACTTCCTCTTCCATTTCTTCCAAATTGCCGTCTTCGATTGCCTATTAATTTCGGAAATTAAAAATGTATTTGGAAAATCAGGGATGACAACAAAAGGTATGTATTTTTTTTTAAAAAAGTCCTCTGTAAGGTGTAAAGAACATTGCCGTATGGATGAATCAATTTATACAAGTCCAAGCTACCACCCCCAACCCTAGGGGCAATCAAGAGTGGTAAATTTAAAAGCACAGTAACAATACTGTCTTGAGTAATTTGACTGTATCCAATGGAGTGGTAAGGCCACGCCCCAAAAAGGCCATCAACACTACAATAATGTACATGCACACTCAAAACATTATTAATAAAACATTTTAACAACATTTTAAACATTTATGCATTTTTACAGGTAAGGTAATTGTTATCAGGCGACCTCCAATTCAAAATTCATCTACCCACATATATAGGTACCTACCAGCTTTCCCTCGCAAACGTATCCTCTGAAGTAGTAACAAGCCAGCTAATTTTGCTGAGGAGTTTTCAAACAGAATTTCTAAATCACTTAATATTAAGATATCTAAAATACTATGTGACTTTAAGCTATTGTAATATTTACTCATAGTGTGGAAGTGGTGGACAATACAAGCATTATGAGATGGGAAACACAAGACAAGACAAGCAAACAACAATACTAATTCAAAATTTACCTGTAATTGTGTGCTTTAAAATCACAGCCAACAGCACTAATGCGATGAGATAATGAAAAATGCTACAAAAATACTTCCCAGATTTAAAAGAAATCTGTTCACACTCTGTCTAAGAAATCCATGTGATAGAGAAGCTGAACTTTCTTTGATTTTAAAACAGAAGAAAAAGCCAGAGATATAGTGGGGCAGTTTGGTTTCATATAATTTTTTTAAAAGATATTAGAGCACATAAAAATCACACACACCATCCTGATTTTTAAAATAAACCACAACAGCTTTTATGATGAATGCATTCCCAAAGCACCAGTGTTGATATTGTCCTTTTTGTTTCTCGGTATTGCCTAGAATACATGCAAATGCTAATCAATCCTTTCTCAGAGCTGAAAGAGCTCTAATCATAAGGCAATTACCTTCATTTTTCCACAGCACCAAACATGGCTAATATTTATGATCATGTGAGTGTAACAATCAATATACAAAGAGGGATTACATCCCAGACACAATTTCTTTCACTTGGACACGTCTCTTGCAAAACGGTTTGTGCATAAAACCTGGTGCACCACACACAACAGGCTGGCATGTTAAAAACGCCAGTGAGATTTTAGAGTCTGTTTTCTATTCATCCTTCGATGTGCAAATCCACAGAACAAACATGAACGTACAATCCTGAGGGAGAGCCTGAAACCCGGGCCTTAATAATAATCAAAAGACAATTTCCATCATGCTTCCACAGCATTCAGATAACCACGATAAAGGAGGCTTGAGATCTGATGAGTTAGGAGAAAGCAAGGAAAGCAACAGCAACAATAAAAAATATATATCTGCACACAAATTCATTAATATTCATTTGGCTAAAGCAGGACACCCATTAGACACCACAGCAGCTAGCGAAGATTATGCAAAGGAAACTGTTCTGCAAATCTTGGAATCTAGAAATGCTAATAATAAATACAGCATGCAAGGCTGTCAACAGTTAATGCTATTGCTTCTCCTTAAACACTCATTTATACACAGAAATCACAGAGAACACCAGCTTCTGATGTGTTACACACCTACACATGCCTGTGATGTAGTTCTACTGAATCTTCAAGACGGCAATGAAAAAGGATATTTACCTTACCACTATCAGCAGGCCGGCTATCGGAAATCACAGTTAGTGGGGATAAAATTAACAAGCCAGCAAAGCAGCGAGCTGCTAGTCTCTTCATCAGCTGATCAGGAAAAAAAAGAGAGCTGGGGAAAGGCTATGTTTTCATATACAAGTAATTTTATTTTACTGAAAATGTAATACTGAAAGGATTGTGGATACTCAAATCTGCTGTTTCATTCTACCTACCAGAAGGCCTGAAGCCTTCTTCCCTCAGCCTGCTTTAATATTGACAAGTACTTATCATATTTTATCCTTATTATTCCAGGAACTCAAATAAGGATTTATTTATTTTTTTGGCAAAGCAGCTATTGATTCCTGGAAGCATTTTAATTATAGTATCAATAGTTTAAAAACTGAGATATACAAACAGATACCTTTTAAAAAAACAAAATAATGAAGTAATGCATCTTAAAGCTGTATTACACAGAAAGCTGTTCCATTGTTCTCTAAAAATTAAGGTTTTGATTTACAAGTTTTGTTAAAAACACTAATTTTTAAAAGAGCACCCTAATTTAATATGCTTTAAGAAGTATCCGTAAAGAAAGAAAATATATTTGGTTTCAGTATTCTCCCCTCCCCCAATTAAGTACAGGGTAAAATAACCCCACTGCTACTTTACTATTTCTTTATGCCATACCTAAAAAGATACACAAATTGACTGAAACTTTAAAAAAAAAAAGATTTTTTAAAGGATCAGAGGAAAAAATATATTAGAATTGATAATACTAATTTTTCCACAATACAGAGACAATAGTAGCAGGCTTGGGTATATTTATTAATTTATAGATGGCTGGTGAATGGCCCAGAAAATTATGGGTGGTTGGTGAATGCTGAGGAATTACTTACAAAAATGTTATTTTTCAAACGTTTTCCCCGTAATTTGAATTAACAGTAAAAAAAATGGTTCTCTGAATTATATTGATTATGCAGATGCAGATATTATTTTAATCAAATTAAAGTGTTCATGTACAAGGCACAAAATTCACAAACTTAGATATAAGAGGTGCCATCTAATTTGAAATTGTTAATCAGATATTAATTATTTAGACACTGTGGCAATTTTAATTTTTATTTCACCCCCCCCCCCATAGTATACTTATTTTAAGTCATGTTACAATTTTGTATGCTCTGTTGCCTGCAAAACTTTATTTAACTAGTGTGTCTCACAAGATTTTGCTTAATTTTGTTTCTGTCACCATGGGTGCCACCGTGCATACTTTACAATTTTTTTCCAACCTAGTGTTTCATTCAACACCACAAACCTAGAATTTCATTCAGGTAATAGCAATTCCCTTCCCTTTCATTCTCCTTGTATCACTTAGACAGAAAGTGTTCCTAACTCAATTTTCCAGAGCTAATTTCTGGGGTGTGTAGGAGTTGTGAGAGGATGGGAAGTCTTTTCTGTCACTTGTTCAGCTGGAGGATAGATATCACTAACTTTCACCCATAATAATGAAAGAAATCCCAGAGCCAGTTTCTGATTGGGGACATGTAGCCTATATGTGCAAGACAAAACTTAGCCAAATTTCCTAAACCCAAATGAAGTGAACAATAATAATAATATGGATGTGGTAGGATGCTCCATGGCAGGTTGCATTGGGTGTGCTATTAAAGGGCAGCAAATTATTGACAATTTAGATTATTATTATATTTTTGTTACCAGATGGATGAAATTTTGATTTTCTGTTTCAGGCACCAAAATTTTGTGAAAGTCTCTAGTAACAGAAAGTAACAGACAAACACAGAATCGACACATTCTTTCATTAAAATCTTTGGCTTCTTGATTGCTATTTAGCCTAACAGTCCATTATCTGTTTCAAAGATCCAACCAAACTACTATTGTGTCTAAGGACACAAAACTAACAGAATTTTCTAGTGGAATTAAATTACTGATAGCTCATAGTTATCCTAAACTATCTGAGCACCTACTAGTCCAAAATAAGAGGCATATATTTTATACTTGTAACATTGACCCATCATCACAGAACTGATCAAGC